CAAAAATGGTGGAGTAAGGACTGCTATAATTTTTCTCCATTAGGAAAGCAATGAGAAAATTGCTCTGTATGCAGAGGTCAGCAGAAACCAATGTCCAGACCAGACTGGAGCCCAGGACCCCAACATTCCTGACTTCTTGAAGAGTCTGCCTAACTATAGCCTTCCATCTCTTTGAAAAACCTGAGAAAATCTTACACTCTTGCAGTTGACTCTCCAAACAAATTGAAAGGGGTGTGGGGAGGTGGGGATAAGGCTCAGTGCTAGAGCATTTGCCAGGCATGTGTGAGGCCCTGGGTTTGATCCCCAGTACAACAAAAATAAAATACCAACAAGGAAAAAAAAAAACAACCCGCTGGCATTATGAGAACGGGAGGTGGTCACTTGATATGGTCACCTCTCCTTGCTCCTACTTTGGAAATTATCGATTGAACTCTTTGACCATCTGTCTATATTATAAACACCTGATGTTCAAAGGTGGAAGTCATATAAACACTATCTGTGRCTACCTGTGGGTAAAGTTTTAGTATATTACCTTCCAGAGGCCTTCATCTTCCTATTTGTTATCATGGTTTGATATCATGTTCTCTATCAGAAAAATTTTAGAATTAATCAGTATTTATTGTTCTCATGATAATACAGCAAGGTGGGACTCTGAGCTAGTTTTCTGTCACCATACTCAAAACACCTGAGATAATGAACTTACATAAGGAGGGAAATGTTGCTGACTCATGATTTCAGTTCATGGTAACTTGCCCCAGTGCCTTTGGGCCTGTGGTGAGGCAGGACATCATGGTGAGTGCAGGCAGTGGGGGAAACTGTTACTGCAATGCAGCCTGGAGGCAAAGAGCAAAGGGCTGGGGGCCAGTGCTCCCCAGTGACCTACCTTCCTTCCACTAGGCCCCATTGCCTAAATGTCCCACCATGTCCCAAGAGTGCCATAGGCTGTGGGCCAAGCCTTCACCCTATAGGCCTCTGGGGACATTCATCATCCTAAATAYAGGACACTCTCAAGTTCAGATTCAGCTCAGTAGAGCTCTAAAGTGCTTACTTCATCTGTCCGTGAAGCTTTGTTAATGTTGTTTTATTGTGGTGGATTATATATTTCTCCAAGGCTCACTTCTGAACCTGTGAAAACTCAACAGAAAAAAAAAAAAAAAATTAAGGGATGGGGATATAGCTCAGTCTGTAGAGTGCTTGCCTCACATGCACAAATCCCTGGGTTCAATCCCCAGCATGCTCCCCCTGCCCTAGCCCGCCAAAAAAAATAAAGTTTGGGCTGGGGTTGTGGCTCAGAGGTAGAGTGCTGATCTAGTATGTATGAAGCACTGGGTTTGATCCTCAGCAGCACATAAAATAAAATAAATGTATTGTGTCCACCTATAACTAAAAAGTAATTATTTAAAAAAAAGTTAGCCAAATAAAAAGAATTCCTGAGAACTGACCTTCTCTATGGGAAATAATTAATAGCCTTTCAGCTGAAATATAAGGATAGTAGTTAATAACTCAAATCTACATTGAAAAAGGGGGAACATCAGATATAATTGAACAGGTAAATATACGACAGTAAAAATGTACTTTTGAGTATTTTTTTKGGGGGGGAGGATACTGGGAATTTAGGCCAGAGGTGTTTAACCACTGAGCCATACCCCCAGTCCTTTTTATCTTTTGAGACAGGGTCTCTCAAGCTGCTTAGAGCCTTGCTAAGTTGCTGAGGTTGATCTTAAAACTTGAGCTCCTCCTTCTTCAGTCTCTCAAGCTGCTGGAATTACAGACATGTGCTATAATGCCTGGCTCAAATGTACCTTTTTCCTCCTTTAATTTAAAAGATAACTGTATAAAGCAATAATTTAGATCCTTATTGATTGGCATGATATACAGATATAATTTATATGACAATAACAGCAGAAAGGGAGCAAAGGGAACAGAGCTATATGAGTAAAACTTTTGTATGCCTTTAAGTTATTATTTTTTTTTTATGGAACTGGGGATTGAACCCAGGGCTTAATGATGCTAGGCAACAGTCTGCCACTGAGCAGCCCTTTGTATTTTTTTGAGATAGGGTTTTGCTAAGATGCCTGGACTGGCCTCAAACTTGCAATTTTCCTGCCTTAGCATTTTAGTTAGCTGGAATTATAGGTGTGTGCCACCATCCCTAACATAGGTTGTTATTAATTATTAAGCTGTAAATCAAGATGTAATAATCCTAAGGGCAACCACTGAGAAAATAACTCAAAGGCTTAGACACTGAGCCACATGCTGCTCAAAGAGCAACTTTAGGATTCAGCATCATAGCAAGAGACGCCAAGAACAAAATCAAGCCAGGCATGGTGGTGCATACCTGTAATGCTGCCAGACTGTGGAGACTGAGGCAGGAGGATCAAGAGTTTAAAGCCAGCCTCAGAAACTTAGTGAGGTCCTAAGCAACTCAGTAAGATCCTGACTCACACATACACACACACATAAAGGGCTGGGCATGTAGCTCAGTGGTTAAGMGTCCCTGGGTTCAATTTCTAGAACCAAAAAAAAAAAAAAAAAGACGCAAATCAAGAACTGTAAGACTGTCTCTTTTGATAGCTGGAATCAGATCAGAAACTGCTGTCAGATTATCTTAATTTCCATCTCTGTGAGAAGGCAATGACTGCAAATGGGAGTGATGTCTGTGCATGTATGTGGTACTGGTACGAATGTGTTTAAGTCCCTCTGCTCGATAACCTGCATCTCAACTAAGGATGAACACACGGCAGAAGGCATATTTCCTGGGAAGATTTAAACTGGTTCTACATGGCTCTCCTGTCCTTCTCCCAGGATGGTAAAGGAGGACTTGGGTACATGGTAGTTCCTACCTTGGGACCCTGGATCATTAAGTGATAAAAACTCACTGGTAAAGTTAAAAAAAAAAAAAAAGTGTACAGTAAAAAAAAAAAAAAAGTTGTCAAGGGAATGAAAATGGTCATAATTATTATCTTGTGATAGACAAGTCTCCTCAATTATGAGATTTTTTTTTCTTTTGTAAAAATTGTGGGGCGATACTATGAGACTAGCTGTCTCCCCACTGAACATTTTTTAGTATCAGTGGAAATTTTCTATTATTCCTTGCATGTTTAATTGGCATACCCCTCTATGGGATAATTTCCTATTTTCTGCATTAATTCACTTATTTAGTAATGGTAACATAGAGTCACAAATTTCTTTTGAATCAGGAGTTCTTTACTCAATAAATAATTATGAATAAATAAGGAAATTTCAGTTAGAGAGTTATTTCAGTTAAAGAATAACAGACCAGATTTTAACTCAAAACTTGAGGAATCAACTAGTGCTGGGTCATCTTTATGGACTCCATTTCTGAGACAATACAGTTTAATATCAACAATTAGTACCATTTAACATTTTAATCTTTAAAAAAACTCCAATATCAGAGCCAGGTATGGTGGTGCACACCTATAATCCCAGAGACTGGAGATGCTGAGGTAGGAGGATTGCAAGTTCAAGGCCAGCCTCAGCAATTTAGTGAGGCCCTCAACAACTTTGTGAAATCAAAAACCCCTGTAATACCATCAGGGGTCAGGGGCTGTAGCTCAGTGGTACAGCACTTGCCTGGCTTACAGGTGGCCTTGGGCTCAATCTCTATAACTGCAAAAAACCAAACAAACTGAAGTCGTTACTATTGGTATTTCTGATGTTTAGTCAAACGCCATGACTAAGACTTATCTTACTTTCACATGATCTGAATGTACTGACCTACCCAACATCATTCCAAACATTCTAGAATTTATTTTCACATCCTTCTCTCCATCCTGACATACTTCAGTACTACACTTAGGTGCTGCAGAAGGGCTCACTGTGTTCTCGTGCCACTGGGCTTGTCCATCTGATGATTTCATAATCAGAAGCAATGAGGCAGAGCCATGAAAGACAGATCAAGAGAACGAATGAAACTTAGGCCCCAAATCTGGCAGCTAAGTAATTGGTGCAATCTGATCTAGAATCCAKTTCTGCTGATTGCAATTAGAATTGTTTTAAATAGCACTTACATTCTGTGGCTAAATTATTCCAAACAAAACCTCCCCTCATTTAAAAAGGCACTAAAAATCACTTTAGTTATCAGTTTTAATCATTAAATCTCCTCCCCAAGAACAGCTATTAGTATTACTTAATAAAATTTAAATGCAAAAGAATTCAGGAATAAAATTTGGGCAGCTCAGGACACAACAGAAGGAAATGATACATAGGCAGCTRTTACAAAATTCTTGAAATCCAGATGTAGTTTTATCCTACTAAGAGAGAGTCTATTAAATATAAAAACACAGAAAAGAAACAAATTTTGGAAAATGTAGACTTTTAATAACTGCCTTTATCACCAGGTTAAGTCATGCAGTTACAAAGTAGTTAGAAATCTGTGAAAGGGCATTATT